GATGGGATGGAGTGGGGATGGGGATGGGGATGGGGATGGGGATGGGATGGGATGGGGATGGAGGTGGTGCTTTGCAGAAGAGGTACACAGGGGATTTCTCCTCCCCCGGCACCTATTGATGCCCCCCAACTAGCCCATCAGCATGGTCAAGGGCGAGCTGAGCTTCCCAGCACCCCAAAACACCCCACCGACAGCGGGGAGAGCTGCTGAGATCCGGCGCCACCGCAGCCTCCGAACCCACTCCTCTCGTACACAGGCAGCTGATGGGATTAGCGGGGATTATCCTCTTGTTCTCCACTCCTCTTTCAAGAGGAGAATAAATGTGACAAGGTGCTTCCAGCTTCGATTTTATGCTCTCGACCTGGGTGCTGGCACCGTGATGCCACCCTGGGGCAGCGATGGGGCTCCAGGGCCGGACTGGTCCCCCCACTTTCCCCCTGCCCCAAAGCCTGAGAACGTGCTGGGGCTGCGATGGGGGATCAGAAGGGTCGATGTGGCCTCTGAGGGCTTTAACGCACCTTTTCCCTGTCCCCATCCTGCCAGCATCCCCGTGTAGCTCTGCCCGTGTTTGGGGGGGTCCCAACTTGCAGGGTCCTTCTCCATCCGTCATCCCCTTCTGGTCTGCAAAGCATCTCGCAGGGTCCGGGCTGACCCGCAGCCCTGGGAAGCTCAGCTCTGCAACTTGATTTTGCAGGACCATTTTGAGCTTTATTCCACCTGATCATGCCACGGGAGGTTTGCCTGAGTGGCGAGGCTCCCTCCCCAGCCCCAGGCAGCACCGGTGCCTCTGCCTCCTCCAGCCCTGTGTCCCTCCATCCCTTTGTCCCCTCCAACCACATCTCCTCCATCCTCTCTGCATCTCCTCTGCCTTCTCCACACCTCCTCCAGCCCCTTCATCCCCTCCACATCTCCTCCGTCCCCTCCACCCCTTCCAGCCCCTCTACATCTCCTCCATCTCCTCCACATCCCTTCCAAATCTTCTCCATCCCTTCCACATGTTCTCCATCCCCTATAGATCCCCTCCATCCCCTCCACACCTCCTCCAGCCCCTCACGCCCCTCCACATCTCCTCCACCCCTTTCAGCCCCTCCACATCCGCTCCCCCCCCTCCCTCCCCTCCCCACCCCCT